CCGGTGCCAAGGCGACGAGCCGCTCGGGCGCAGTGGGTGCGGTCATGGCTGCAGCGCGCGCATCGCGATCGGCGAGATGGTCGGCAGCAGGATCGGCGAGCATAGTGGCTGGGGTCTCGGTGGCGGGCTATATCGCTCTGCGGAATGCGTTTGCCTGGGCGAGAGCCGTGCCGCCCAACGATGCTGCGCCAGATGCTGTCCGCCCGGCCTATGGATCGGCGCCGGTGGATGTGTGGGACGCTGTGCTGGCTGGCGGACTTGGTGGCTATGTCATTGGTGGCTCGTTTATGGGTCCGCGCAATGCGGTGCCCGCGGCGCTAGTGACGGCCGCTGTGGCGGCGAGCGCAGAGTTGGCTGGCGCTGCATACGCGCAGTGGAAGCGGAACAAGATTCTGGCGGCACGGCGTGCAGCTGCGGGCATCGGTGCCGGCGGTGGCGACGCCGACGACGACGACGACTGGCTGCCCAAGTGGTTCCCCATCCGCCGCAATGCCCGACCGAGCGAGGGCAGCGGGTGATCGACAGCCAAGTACCCTTCGCTCAGCTCGGCGGATCGAGCTTGACGTGGTTGGCCGGGAACCAGCCCGAGGCGTCGGCGCCGACCCGCCGGCCGGACCACCACTCGCCATCGTCGCAGGAGAAGAGCTCGATGCGGTCGTCCGGCGCGAGGCTGAGCTCGTCGGGACCCTCGCCGTTGAACCGGTACACCGCGGTGGCAAAGGTGCCGGTCGATGGGTACAGCTGGCCTGCAGCCGACGTGGCCGCCGCTGCCGCCGCCGCCGCGTCAGCCGCCTCCAGCTCGGCCGGCAACGGGATGGCCCGCAGCAGCCGCGCCAGCGCGTACGCAATGGCCGCGAGCAGCAGCGCCCGCGAGCCCCACGACGAGCCGCCGCCGCGCTCGGCGCCGGCGCCGGCTCCTCCCGCCGCGCCCACCGCGGCCGCGCTCACGTCCTCGCCAAAGACCCGCGAGCGGATAAAGGCAGCCAGCCGTGCGAGGGTGCGCACAATGGCCAGAGCGCGGATCATCGACCAAATCTGAGCCCTCACCGCCGAGAACGCGTCCGAGACGCCGACCACCGCCGCAAGCGTGCCAAACACCGCCTGGTACGTGTTGTTCAGCACCCACGTGAGCTGGCCAAAGGCGTGGACCGATGAGCCGATCGACTCGAGCCAGGCGTGTGGGTTGAAGACCGAGTCCATGCCGCCCACGCCGCCCGGGACCATGGTGCCGTGCCCGTAGCCCATCCCGCCATACCCACCCATTCCGCCGTAGCCCATCCCGCCCAACCCCGAACCATACATCGACGAGCCGTAGCCCAGACCCGATCCGTAGCCGCCGTAGCCCAGGCCGCCCATGCCGAGGCCTGCCGATCCATAGCCCATCCTGGAGCCATATCCACCGGCATAGCCACCACCATAGCCACCACCATACCCAGCGCGACCAGCATACCCACCCAGAGCACCCAATCCCATACCGCGACCCATCGGGCGCCCCGTCGTCGTCATCGCCATTGAGCCCGGAGCGGCAGCCGTCGTCGTCGTCGTCGTTGTTGTTGTCGGCCGACTCGTCGCCCTCCCTGTCGACCCCACAGAGCCAGCCAACCCCAAGCCACCTCCACCCACACCCCTCCACCTCCTCCTATTCCTCGTGACGGTGGTGGTGTGCTGCTTCCACCGACTCCGCTTCGAACCTCCCAGGGCTTGCGAGGTGACGCTTGTGCCGTCATTTGCCACGTCGGACGACAAGTGCTGTCCGTCACGGTCACGGGCCGCCATACCATGCTGTGCACGGCTTCCACCCATGCTCCATCACAGAGCAATGGCATTGGTGATCGGAAACCACCACCCCCTTCCAGCCACCCCCCCATCCCCCTGCTCCCCTCCCCACTCACCCTTCCCCCTCCTCCCCGGGCCGCCACCTAGATCACGCGCATCCTGATCTAGCCGCACAGATCCCCCTTCCCCTTCCCTCCCCCATCCCCCATCCCCCCTTACCCCCACCCCTCCCCTCCCCCTACGCCCTACCCCCTTGATCGCCCTCCTCCCCACACCCCCCGCCCCTCTCCT